AAAAAAAAAAAATCTGTTTCCAAGAAGAAAGGGGCTTTGGAGTCTATATTTGGTTGTACTGGGGATTATAAACTACCAAAGGGAGTTGACCCTAAAAATCTCTAAAAATAGATTTGGGTGAAATCCAGTGAGGAAAATATTCACTGTTGTTGAATAGGAACTTACTAGCTAAGAAGACAATACAGAGAAGTAAAATAGCATAGGTTAAATAAAAGGGGGGCAGTGGCAAAGGTGACAGAAAATGAATCAAGATAGTTCGTGGGTAATAGGAAATTTATTTCAACAGTTGGCCAGAAAAACTAGCACTATTGTCTCAATCTCAGCTTCTCCTTTATGAGGCACCCTGGATTAAAATAAACAAATAAATATTAACACACATCCTTCAAGGTCTTCTCTGGTGGTACAAGGGGTTAAGTATCAGCACTAAGAAGCTATCGGAGGCAAGAGTTTTATTCCAGCCAGGGAGCTGACCCACAAAGGGTAGCAGACCTCTCCTCTGTCACCTGCTGCTTCCCTCAGCAGTGTACATCAGTCAATCTGTCTGTTCTGTTCCCCCCTCTTAGTCTGTTCAATCTTCTCATACCCCCACCTCTGGACTGTTGGCCTATACTCCAGCTTTTGTAAGCATAAACAAATCTTTACAAAACAAAACAAAATACACATTCTTCAGTAACAAGCTTTACTAATGTCAATTTTTTTTTCATTTAATATTAACTACATAATCCTCAGTTGAAAGTCTACAATAAAAGAGTATCTTGGGACAACAGTCATGTTCTAATCTAAGGTATCAATTGAAGTGTCACAAAGTCTGAAACCAGTTTTTAAAGGGTAATCTCACTGAATCTCCACAGCTAGATCTCTCAATTACTGTCTTCCACTGTGTTGGGAAAGAGCAAATATTGCAGGTCAAACAGTAGTGGAAGGTAAGTGAGTAGGAAGCCTGTACAGGCAAGTAAGCCTTTGATGATTCCTCAAATTACACCATGCTGGAATATACATTAGAATGTTTATTTTCTCCCTCTAAATATCTCTCTATAGAAAAAAAGAATTCTAAGGAAGGCCAGAAAGGTGGGGTAAGCATCTAGCAAGAAAGCAAAAGTGAAACAGCAATCATTAGCTTAGTATGTACCAGAGGCTATATATAGATACAATATCATTTAAACCTTACAACAGCCTTTAATAAGGATATTAGCATGACTCCTTGAAAATGGAAATTGAGCTTCTCCAGGACTAAGGGATGCTGAAAGTCATAGCATCTAAAACAGAAAGAGCTAGGATTCAAACCCACATCTATCTAACTCCAAAGTTTATGTGTTTTACATTGTGTCAAATATACTGGAGTGTGAGGCAGTCAGTCAGGAGACCTGAACTGTAAGACATTCTCTAACACCTGATTGTAGCTTGGAACTACTCATTTACTTCTTCAAGATTTAATTACTTTATTGAAAGTGGATTTAATCACTACGCTGGTTACCACTACCCTCAGATTATTTATTCTACATGCCTAAAATAAAGTGTTTTGGTTTCTCTTTGTATCCTTCTTCCCTGAATGGAGGGGAGGGGGGGAAATCACAGGACACCAGTAGCATTTATAGGAAGCCAACTTCATTACTGTTATGTTTTAAATAGAAGCTTTCCTGTCTACAAAATATAATCACTTCTTTCAGTTCCCAGTTTCTTCCCCAAAGCTAAGTCTCAACTATAGGGAGGCAACACATCCTGCAGTAAGAAAAAACCCCTGTGTTGATCGCAGGAAGGATCAAAAATAAGCCTTCATCCTTACTTGCCGTTCTGAATATCACATAATCATCAGTTGTTTCTTAAAGAAACAACTAAATACACACACCAAGGTCACAAACTCATCTGGCAATGGATAGGAGTTCTACAAATCTAGCAAAGATGATTCAGTGAGAGTACTAGTAGACAGACATCCTGTATTGGGCTCAAAAGAGTTCCTAAAAGTTCATTACTACTTAGAGCCTCAGAATATGAACTTCTTTGGAAATAGGGTCTTTGGGGATGTATTAGCTATGAGGAGATCATACTGGATTGTAATGTGTTCTCAATTCAATTACTAGTATACTGTAAGATAACCATAGGACACAAAGATGTAAGGGCCTTGTGACGATGAAGGTAAAAGCTGAAATGATGCACTGACAAGTCAAGGAAAGTAAAAAAAAAAAAAAAAACTGTCAGGAGCCACAAGAAGATGGAAGAAACAAAGATTTTACCCATTGGTAACAAGCCCCTACCAACAGTTTCACTTTTAATTTGTAGCTCATAACCATACAATAATAGATTTCTGCTGTTTTAAGTACTAAGTTTGTGGTAATTTGTTAAAGTAGTCCTAATACAAAAGCTATTCATTATCTTTTAAGGTTTCAACATTTATGCAACTGATTAAAGGACTAATGAAATTGAAGTCCTTTACAGAGGGTAATACTTGGACTATCTAGACCAAAAGAAAAGAATGCTTCTGATGTTCAGTTCTACACTGAGTCCATGAATACAGAAAGGCCTTCCTTGGCAGGTGAGAAGGGAATTCTGTAAGCTGTACCTCATCTTTCTTTTCCTGAATGCGTCGTCTCTCTGCCTCGATTGTCAGCTTCTCCTGGATTTCCTGAGCAATTTCACAGTCCTGTTGCTCACTAAAAGACAAAAAGTGAAAACAACATGGATAAGGCGATTAAGGAATGATTTTTCTGAAAAAATAACACAGTTTATTCATTACTCACTATAGTCAGTGCACATTTTTTATTCAATCCTTACAACAATGATACTGAAGTTGATATTGTTAGAGCTCACAAGTACCAAACTACTGAGGACCAAAGTAGTAAAATCATTTCCTAAGATCTCAGGAAAACTAACTGGAAGAACCAGAATCTGATTCCCAGATAACGCAATGTTTTTTTTCTGTACAGCCTTATACCTCACCCTACGGGGGCTACTCTACAGAAAGACAGGCGTGTTTTTTGAAGCAACGGCAGACTATGAAATTAATGTTCACAAATAATCAAATATAGAAAAATGCATAAAAAAATTAAAAATACACTAAAATCTCAATAATACCATGGTCATCCAGGCATGTTGGCATGACTTTAAAATGCTTTTTATAAAAAAATATTTTAATTAGATATATTTCTCTGACTTTAGTGATGAATACTTAAAAAGCGGAAAATGAGTTGTGCTTGGTGGCACAACAGGTTAAAAGCGCAGCACTACAAGCAAGCCACAGTCACTTCAATGCAAGTTCAATCCCCAGCCCAGGAGGTGACCTACATGGTGCAACAGACCTCTCCTGACACGTCCGCTGCTCCCCTCAGCACTGTATTTCATTATTCTGCCTCTTCTGCTCCCCTCTCTGTCTCTGGTGAATCCCCTCACTACTCCTGCACCTCTGGTCTGCATCCCAGTTCTGGATGCATAAATAAATTTTTGTTTAAAAATGGGAAAGGAATATTTTATTCCTCATCTTCATCCCCAATAGCACCTTTCTGGCAGATTCAAATTTCCAAAATACTCCCGTCACTAAAAAAAAACATGCTGTGATTCTATTGCTACTATAGTTTTATTTTGGCATTTGTGCATTCAACAAAGATTTGAAGAACACCTGTTATGATCGACAGACTATGCTCAACACTGAAGATTCAAAAATGAATAAAGATTTAATTCTGCCCTCAGCAGTTCACAATATTATTTTAGTGGGAGAAATAGAAATAACAGTGATAAAGAAACATTCTTGAAAAAAGCACCTTTAAAAAAGCTATTCCAGCAGAATATGGAACTTGGATCACACAGAGATGGTTTCTGAATATACCCCTAGACATATAAATAAGTCTTCTGATTTCAGGTTTCAAGAAGTCAGTGGGCATCTAAAAAATTCTAGGATGCCTTAGCTTTGAGAAACCAACTTTTATGCAGAACGACAAAGAAGATATAATTCCTAGTATATAAAATAAAGTGGTTTAAGCTGAGTTTCATTATTCACCGTATTTCCAAGAAAGACCATCTCACATTTACTTAGTTAATTCTATTTAATTCCAAGGAAGCAAAATCAAATGTGAATAGGATGCAACAAAAATTAGTAAGACTGATTTTGGGCGTGGGCTTTAGGATCCAGACTTAAGTAAAAGGTTCCATTTCATTAAAATCTTCAGCATTTCAACCTTCCCAAGATGGTCAGCTACTAATATTGCCAGGGTGCAAAAACAGACACTTTCTTTCTAACTTACTTATTTCATCCAGGAAAACTAACACATTGAAGACCTAGATAGAAATATAATATGTGGCTCCTTCATTTAGGACCTATAACCCATTACTTTTCAAATCCTGATTTATATTTTGCAGTGTTTTGTCTTAACGGTGTCTGAATTACCTTAGGATGCTATCATTACCTTAATTTAGGATGTTCAACTTCTGTACCAGTTCTCAGAACTAGATTTCATAACAGAGTCTCACAGAGCATGAATGATACAAAAGAAGTCATTTAAAATTCCAGTTTCTTTTAGCCCTGGTCTCATCTTAACTGTTTGCAAAACTAAGTTGTCATACATTTCAACCTGTTTCTAGCTACTTTTTCTCTAATTCTATTAACATTACCTTCATCCAGGTCTCATCACCTCTCTCCTCACTGAATTTTTATGATCTATTGTCCTCAATTCAAGCATCAGCATCTCTTTACTTGACTACTGCTCAATCATATCCCCTCCAATCCTCTAACCTAGCTAGCCCCCAGCATACATCTAAAAATGAAAATCTAAAACTTCCTCAGAGGTTCTGTTGCTCATACTATAAAATCTATATAAAACCGGGCCCTCCCTGGTGGTGCAGCGGGTTAAAGCACATCACTAAGAAGCTAAAGCCACTTCTGCATGAGTTCGATTCC